ACTGAAGAACAAGTTCAGTATTAACTTAGACTCTTCCAGTAACACAGTGACTCTAAACGGACAGAATGTGCAGCCTGAAGACTCTGCTGTGTATTACTGTGCCAGAGAGACACAATAACACAAACCATCAGTAGACCTGAACAAAAACCCCTCAGTGCCTGAACACTTGTAACATGAAGCCACCAGAGGAGGAGCCCTCAGACCACTAATGATTTCAACACCAGTTCACTGTTACAGTGAAGACAAAAACAGACATGATAAGAATTAAGAAAATAATATAGAATAATAATGATATCAAAAACACAGTAGAGGCATTTTAACAAAAACATGTTTCTCTGTCTGCCTCAGAAATGTAAATCATTTATTTGCATTGACTGAAAAACATGGTTATTAATGTCAAACACGTATTGAAGAGTTACATGTTATTCCTGTTCAATGCTTCATTAATATTCTTGAATGTATTCTTCACTCTTATTGCTACTTGGGTATTTGGTCCCTTAAGTCTTGAAAATAGTATGATATATGAACATTTGAAAGAGATTTTCTTGTGAGAAATTCAACATTGTAACATAATGAACTAAAACATAATTGATACTTCTTTACATTAAAATGTGATTAAAAATACTCACTTTGGGTGTATGGTAAAATTGATAAACTATTGTCGAGGTCTTCACATGATGCAGACTGTGGTCTATAATGTGGTCTTTATTAAGGGTCAACCAACTTAAATAATGTGTTTGTCAACCTGTTGCACAAATTATACTGAAACATGCAAGAGGGACTCTTGGAGAAATGACTAATGTACAGTAAACATTCATTCTGCAGTTTCACCAAACATCAACTGAGATCCAAGTTATTCCTGTATTTAATGCTTAATTAATATTCTCAAATGTATACTTCACTATTATTGCTACTCAGGTTTTTGTTTTCCTGAAATCTTGAAAATGTTTGACTTATGAACACTTGAAAGAAATGTTTTTGTGAGAAAATCACTATTGTGACATAACGAACAAGATTTGTTAGGGTGTTATTTGACAATCATTTACATTAAAATGTTATTAAAAATACTCACTCTAGGTGAATCGTAAACTATTCGAGGTCTTCCCATGATGCAGACTGTGGTCTATAATGTGGTCTTTAATAAGGGTCAACCAACTTAAATAATGTGTTTGTCAACCTGTTGCACAAATTATACTGAAACATGCAAGAGGGACTCTTGGAGGAATGACTAATGTACAGTAAACATTCATTCTGCAGTTTCACCAAACATCAACTGAGATCCAAGTCAAATCCAGTTCCACACTGTGAGGAGGAGTCAATGCAAAACTCAGATGTCTTCCACCTCTACTTATCTGACTGCAGAGAGGATGACAGAGAACAGTGGACACACAGTTTAACATGATGGACTATAGGACAGGACTGCTGCTGTTAACTATCTGCTGGGCAGGTGAACATCTTCAATGATGTTCTATATAGCTTTAATTTATGTCATCTGCTTATTTCACATGATTTGTATCTTCTTGACAGGTGTTGATGGTCAGACTCTGACAGAATCTGAACCAGTGGTTAAAAGGCCTGGAGAATCTCACAGATTGACCTGTACAGCCTCTGGATTCACATTCAGCAACTACTACATGCACTGGATCAGACAGGCTCCTGGAAAAGGACTGGAGTGGATTTCTGCTATCAGTGAGGGTGGTAGTAGCAAATTCTACTCTCAGTCAGTTCAAGGCCGGTTTACCATTTCCAGAGACAACAGCAGACAGCAGGTGTATCTGCAGATGAACAGTCTGAAGAATGAAGATTCTGCTGTTTATTATTGTTCTCGACACTCACAGTGACTGGAGTTGGTTGAGCAGCTGTACAAAATCCTACAGTAGTCATCTTAGTGCTCTATCTGCAAACACTGAAACCATTAAAAGTATTTTATGCAAACCAGCATCAGACAGACGTTGTCATACAATTTACATCACCATGGCTGCATTAAATCAGTACAGTCAATGAGCAAATAAATGAATAAACAAATTCTACATTACAAAGGGAATGTGTTCATATGTTTTAAGTTAATCATGAAAGTCATGAAGGAGGTGCTGACAGTGAATAAATTCTCTCAGGAAAATAACTCGCATCATATTTAAATGTGTTTTCATCATTTAAAAACATGATAAACACACTGTAAACACGGCTCATAGAAAGCCACATTCTTCCTCCATTTTATTCAATGGGTGCACATCATCATTGTTATTGCAATGCTGATTTTTAGAAATAACAGGTGTGAAGTGTGAACAGTTGACACAGCCAGCCTCTGTGACTGCGCAGCCAGGTCGACGTCTGACCATCACCTGTCAGGTCTCTTATTCTCTGAGCAGCTACTACACAGCTTGGATCAGACAGCCTGCAGGGAAAGGACTGGAGTGGATTGGAATGGAAGCTGTTGGATACACAACATATTACAAAGATTCACTGAAGAACAAGTTCAGTATCGACTTAGACTCTTCCAGTAACACAGTGACTCTAAACGGACAGAATGTGCAGCCTGAAGACTCTGCTGTGTATTACTGTGCCAGAGAGAGACACAATAACACAAACCATCAGTAGACCTGAAAAAAAAACCCTCAGTGCCTGAACACTTGTAACATGAAGCCACCAGAGGAGGAGCCCTCAGACCACTAATGATTTCAACACCAGTTCACTGTTACAGTGAAGAGAGAAACACACTTATTATTAAGATCAGGCTGTTTCTCTCATTTGCCAACCTGAAGAAGGTCGTCCAGGCTGTCAAGAAGTATCATTGCACCGTATTTCTTCCAATTTTGATTTCATTTAAGACACATCATGAATTCATGTCACATGGTTTTGATGCTCATATTTGATCCCTCATTGCAAACAGAGAACTTGTAACAGTAGATTTGTCATAATGAACTTAACAAATTAATTCCCCTGTGAGCAGCTTTACAAGAATAATTTATTTTCTAAAGGCTGTGTACTAAAATAAAGGTAAGACTTTATAATAAGGGTTTTATTTAAGTAAAAGTACATAGGTATTAGAAGCTAAATGTACTTAAGGCCCTGCTCACAGTGTTATATACCATATATGCAGAGTTAAGAATCAAAAAGTATTTTTATCTTGGAGATGTATTTGATATATATCAAATCTATTATACAAATAAGCCCCTCCCTTACAAACTGCCAATGCAAATCCAGAGCTTTCAGAAGGTTTACTTCTAAAGCATCTGAGTTCACATCTTCAGTCTCAAGATGATGGACAAACCGTCTGTACTGCTGACAGCACTCTGTCTGCCCTGTACGTTGCTTCATGCTGCAATACTGATCAGAGAATGTACACATTTAATGTTCTGCTGTTTATTTCTCTCTCGTTCTCACTTGTCTCACGTGTCCTTTAACATCTGTTTCTTTGGCAGGTTTGAATGGCCAGGGATTCGACAGCCACAGTCATCCAAGTGAGCAAATAAGCTTTACAAAAACAACTAATTTTTACAGTCACCAAAAGGGGGCAGCAGGAGATCTTAAAACCAGTGTGGCATCGTACCTACACATACAGAGAAACAAACACAATGTGAAAGCACCTGCTGAGGCTGTGGTTGTCACTTCCTCTTTTTTATGGTTTAATGTGCTTATCTACCACAATGTACTGGTTAATAATATCCCCATCTTTTATTCTGTAAGGCAGGAGTGAAACATTTTCTCTTATATTTCAATAATTAAAGGTCCCATATTGTGGAAAGTGAGAATTCCATTTCTTGTGTGATTATAAAGCAGGTAGGTGCTGTATAAATACTGTGAAAGTATCAAAAAGCTCATTCCACAGAGAAATGCACACAGCCAGTATTCAGAAACTGTGCCTTTAAACCAACTGTCAGAACTTCCATAAGGTTGTGATTGAACTATACAGTCACCACCATCAGCCATGCTCCCAGAGAGTGAGTATGTGTTGGACAGTTACTCCCTGATGGACAGAGAATTAAATAACATGAGAATTTAGCACCAAAAAAAGGTATTTTACTATTACAAATACAGATAACACATAGAGTCACATAACAGAACAGAAATTACATTTTCTTGTTCTATTTTCTATTTCTCTACTTTAAATTAATTCACTTTTATAATTGTGCCATCATATATTTTTCATTTTTCATAGACAGTTTCTGGTTTTAGTTTGTGTTGTTGAAAAATGATTTAAAAAAAAAAAAAAAAACTTTTTCAACTTTTGAAGACAATTCAAATTAAACAAGTATTACATTCAGATTTGCCTGAATCAGATTTATTTGGATGATGTCACAACTCCTCCATTATCGATTCTCAAGTGCAACAAACTACAGACCAAACTCTGTCCTCACTGTGAGGACGAGTCAATGCAGAATGTAGTTGTCTTCCACCTTTAATAATCTGACTGCAGACAGTGACAAAGCTTTTAGTTTTTATTGCAACTTTTGTTTGAGTTTATATGTCTGAGTGGGCAATTTATTTCTACTGACTGAAAACAGTTCTCAGTAGTTTTCTTAACATCTATTCCAAGTGAGGTTTTCATTCCCCTGATAACCTTTAAATTGGATGACTTATGAACACTTTGTGAAAAAAAGCAGTATAACATAATGAACAACATATCTTAAGGTGTCATATTTCTGTCAAAATGTAATTAAAATTACTCAGTAACTGAGATCCGAGTCAAATCCAGTTCCACACTGTGAGGAGGAGTCAATGCAAAACTTAGATGTCAAGCAATGACCAGTCTGGTTCTCTCCACACTGTGAGGAGGAGTCAATGCAAAACTCAGATGTCTTCCACCTCTACTTATCTGACTGCAGAGAGGATGATAGAGAACAGTGGACACACAGTTTAACATGATGGACTATAGGACAGGACTGCTGCTGTTAACTATCTGCTGGGCAGGTGAACATCTTCAATGATCTTGTTTTGACATATTTTCATTTGTGCTGCCAATGTAACACATGACATGAATATCTTTCTTGGTTTAACAGGTGTTGATGGTCAGACTCTGACAGAATCTGAACCAGTGGTTAAAAGGCCTGGAGAATCTCACAGATTGACCTGCACAACCGCTGGATTGTCATTCAGCAGCTACTGGATGGCCTGGATCAGACAGGCTCCTGGGAAAGGACTGGAGTGGATTGCCACTGAAGCGGGTAGTAGTGGCAAATTCTACTCTCAATCAGTTCAAGGCCGGTTTACCATCTCCAGAGACAACAGCAGAGAACAGCTGTATCTGCAGATGAACAGTCTGAAGACTGAAGATTCTGCTGTTTATTATTGTGCTCGAGACTCACAGTGACTGGAGTTGGTTGAGCAGCTGTACAAAAACTTACAGTACTCATCCAAACTGGACTGATGGACTATGAGAAACAATAATTTCAGTTATTTTGAAGAAATACATGAAAACTGAAATATTATTAACCAACAATTATTAACAACAATAACCTCAGTTCCTCACTGATCAAGGGCAGCACAACAATCACAAAAATACTATATGTATATTTCAGTCATATTAACCCTCATCCTAACATACTGTTTTTATACTCTGACGATCATTCAACAAACAACGATAACCATTTAAACACGTTAAAATCTGTCACTGTAATAATCACTTCCTCACAAAACAGCCAGACAGCACAACAGTCTGGTTACTGAAATCATTGTCCAGTTATGATTAAAAGAAATACTACACACAAGTTCTAACTTTTCTTTCTGTTTTTCACATTCACAGAATAAACAAAAGTTTTATTGGTGTTCTCACATATGTAGTTGAGACTGGGAACAATAAATATTCTGTTGATCTGAGTGTAAATGTGAATGTTTGACTTGTTTTAGATGATTTGTTGAAAATGAACCAACTTTAACATTAGGTTCTGTTTTAAATAATAAAGATACTTTCTTGTTTTCTGTCTTTCAAAATAAATGTTCATAACACAATTCAAAGCTTTGACTACTTAATTAACTAATAGATCATTATAATTTACACAACTTCATAGAGATGTTAATTCTTCAAACTGGAATCAATAGTGAATCAATAGTCTATAGTGTGTTTGTCAGAGATGAAGAAAAGAGAAGAAGTTCCACCTTCTGTCTGTGTGAGATGAGGACAAATGCCTGAACATTTCATCCTAATGTTGAATTATTTAAATACACATTAGTCAGCTGATTTACTGTCATCAGGATGTAAATGAGCTCCTTGTGTGTTGCTCATAAGGAAGTAAAATGTGTGTGTGTGTGTGTGTGTGTGTGTGTGTGTGTGTGTGTGTGTGTGTGTGTGTGTGTGTGTGTCAGTGAGAGGACAGAAGAGCTCACATCAGTTCAGCTTCAACATCAACATGTTCTCTGTAGCTCTGATACTGCTGCTGGCAGCTGGATCCTGTGAGGAGCTTTCAGTGGATTCACACTAATAAACACATTAGAAACACTGAATAGTCAGATGAATGATGGAGATAATGTTGATTTCTGTTTCCACAGGTGTGAACAGTATTGATCTCATCCAGTCAGACTCAATGGTTGTGCAGTCTGGACAGCCCTTCACCATCACCTGTCAGGTCTCTGGTTATTCTTTGACTGATAACAATTATGCAACAGGTTGGATCAGACAGTGTGAAGGAAAACCAATGCAATGGATTTGGCATCGGTGGGGTGGAGGAGACTTTTATCAAAACAATGCTCTGAAGAACAAGTTCCTTTACAAAACACACATTTCTACTAGCTCGGTGACTCTAACAGGACAGAATGTGCAGCCTGAGGACACAGCTGTGTATTACTGTGTACGTGGCTCCACAGTGATACAAACCACCAACAGACCTGCACAAATACCTAGAAACATATGTGACCAACCAGTAACACATTCTAATAGAAGAATTGATAACTGAATTCAACTTCACACTATTTTCATTCAATCAATTTAACACAAATAATACCATTTGTAGATTTGGCAGGAATGGAATATAATGTATGTTTTCATTAGTGTATAATCACCTTTATAAAGGAATCGTTATGTGTTTGCTGCCTTAGAATGAGATATTTTGATATACACACACTGTGGGTCACCTTGCTTTGGGTCCGCCATGTTTCTACAGTAGCCCAAAACGGACAAGTTAAACACATTGCATTTTTTTGCACGTTTCACGGCCACCGTACAAAATAAAGTCAAAAGCAGAAAGTATTGATTTTTTGTTAAATCTCCTCTGAGTTACACAAGTGAAGATCAAAATATCACCAGTCCAGTCTCGCTCTCTCCTCCCTGTGAGGAGGAGTCAATGCAAAACTCAGATGTCTTCCACCTCTACTTATCTGACTGCAGAGAGGATGACAGAGAACAGTGGACACACAGTTTAACATGATGGACTATAGGACAGGACTGCTGCTGTTAACTATCTGCTGGGCAGGTGAACATCTTCACTGATCTTTAGTTGAAGTTGTTTTCAAAATGCTTCCAGCTTAAAGCAACTGACCACTGTATATTTGTTTTATCTTGACAGATGTTGATGGTCAGACTCTGACAGAATCTGAACCAGTGGTTAAAAGGCCTGGATAATCTCACAGATTGACCTGTACAGGCTCTGGATTCACATTTAGCAGCTATTGGATGCACTGGGTCAGACAGGATCCTGGAAAAGGACTGGAGTGGATCGTTTATATCAACAGTGGCAGTAGCAACATCTACTACTCTCAGTCAGTTCAAGGCCAGTTTACCATCTCCAGAGACAACAGCAGACAGCAGGTGTATCTGCAGATGAACAGTCTGAAGACTGAAGATTCTGCTGTTTATTCACCCGATTTGACTGTTATCATACCATTGAATAAGCGTTATCCTGATACAATCATCCCACAGATATGGGCCAGTAGGGGCCTACTCTACCTACTAGTAGGTGCAGGAGGCAGTTATCACCCATTCATCTGGCTGATCCAATACTATTCAAGCCCAGGAGGTACAGAAGGTGTGTTATCGAGCAGAGCAGTCACGTGACTGTCAGATTTCTGTCTGCATTTTCTTTTCAGTGGAAAACCAACATTTTAAGATATTTTTGGCATTAGAGTTCGTTGTGATAACCGTGACACTGTCAAGTTAGCAACAACACAACAACACATTTACCCACGTCCGGGTGGACTGAATTAGCAAAATAAATATGCCCTTTGAAAATAAAGCCAGAAGAGAATATTTTACGAGCAAGAGTAACGTTAATACTAAAGACACTAGTGGTTTCTATTTCATAAATACACATCCTGTAGAAGCGTTATTAGGATAAAGGAAAGTTAAACGTTAGGTTAGTTAAGTTAGTTGCACAATTACTATATACATAAATGCATATTTTATTAATCAAATTCTTAAACATCAGCTTTTATTTTGATTTATCTGCCGTTGCGTGTCGACGTCATCTTCTCCGACGCGACGCGCACGTTGGATACGGGTACCCTTTAACTTGGATGTCACGTGGCGGTAAGATATGTTTGGTTAAAAATTCAACCACAAAGTAAATAACAACGATGCTTAGTTTTTACATGTTTTTATGATTTGCCTGTAAAAACTCAAAAGCTTTGCATGTTAGTTAGCTCAACTTAAACGCAACTAAAGTTAGCTCCTAGTAACTAACGTTAGCAACTTCCTGGCGCTAGAAAGCTCACCGTCTATTTTCCATCCCACTTACAGATTGTGAGTGTGTCTGTGTGTGTCTGTGTGTGTCTGTGTGTGGGGATGAGTTCACAAGAACAACGCCACATTTTGGAAAGCTTGGATGAGCTGGTAGAGCAGCAGGAGTTTGATGACCTCCTTCGGACAGGGGCAGCAGCAGCTCCTCAAACACCGCTGAAGGTGAGGTGGACGGAGAGGGACGCGGATGGAAACACGCTTTCCATTTGGCCAGGAGTCACACGGATCCAGACATGGTTAGTATTTTATATTCTCGATATTTAAAATGGTTTCAGTCCTGAATGTCAGTGTAGGCCAGTGGCAGGGATAACATGCAACACTGTCAATGGACTAGTATCTGCAAAATGAGCTATTGAACAAAACAAAGTCTCCAAAACAAGCTTTATGACAACGTTTCTCCCTGTTGATATGCAATTGCCAAGCACCATTCACATTGTTATATATGTTATATCTGTCATATAACAATATTTTCTTCTTATCTGTGTAACAATGAAGTCCATGTTTTTTGCTAGTTGTATGCATATGATACAAAAACAACCTTGGGCCCCTTCTAACTACTCCATGTATTTCTTTTACAATTGCAATAGAATGTCTTTTGCAAGATCTGCAACACTCCCTGAGCTGCTCTGATGAAGAGCTTAGTGAAGCATCAGCAGACCAAAGAGCTCCTCTGGCTTCTCTGGATTGGAGCATTCGCAATGCTCTCTTTTCTGAGAGATGGAGGGAAAAGAGACCATCTCTTCTTAGTAGCATGCTGGCCAAGGAGAGCATGGCAACAAATGGCTGGTTGTAAATGTAAATATTACCTTGTAGGACGGTATGATCTCAACGTGCCTGAGCTGACCTGCGAGGGATGCCAGGCAACTTGGACTGCAGGACTTGATGACCTGATAAAAAGTGGATACTGACCTGCCACCCTTCATTTTGTAACAATTTATGAGACAGACCTGTTTTATACGTTTGAAGACATTAAGATGGCATCACCCGGGATGTCTTTTCAGGCATATCTAAGAATGCTTGAGAATCGGACTGCTCACTTTGGCCGTGTAAGTATTTCTCTATATGTTTGTGTTTTGAAATGCAAAGGTCTTTGTTTAAAAAATAGTTTTATGCTTTTTTCTTTTTACATAGACTGGGAAGATCTCATCAGACAGCTTCCAAAAAAGCTTTTTTTAATGGGCTGCTGTACAATATGAGGTTGACTCCACCTGCAAGGAGGAGAAATTCATCTGTCCTGCCTGTACCCCAGCAATGCTTTCTGTCTCAGTGGATGGAAACCGCAAGCGTTACCGCTTCAAAAGTACTGCAAGGTATACAATAATGTACAGATAGATAGTTATGTTTTATACAACAAGTAACCTTTCGATGTGTGACATGTTAAAAAGATAGTTAAGGTGTTTTGAAGTGGGGTTGTATGAGGTACTTATCCATGGTCTGTCTGTTACCTACAGCAGACAATGGTCACCGCCACCCATCCCCTGCCTGTATTGTCGAGAAGCAGAAAAATGTGTTTTAGCCACATATAAAAGGCCCGCCTGAAAAAAACCCAATATCCAGGATTGTAGTTGGGGTTAGATGTAGAAATATGAATTTCTACAGTTGAGACAATTTAGTGCCAAGGAAAAGGGCTGTCTGAACACTGTACTGTAGGTAACAAACTTACTATGGATAAGTACCTTATACCACTCCACTTCAGAATACTCAACTATCCTTTTAAACATTGAAGCCTTTTTTATTTCTTGTTGCTTTTTTAGATCTCAGGAGCGGGCCATCTTTGACGGTGTCTTCATTGCAAAAGATGACGATGTGACCAGATTTGTGGATCACATCCACAGCAAAAAAAAACATGTAATAGCAGACTTCAATTTCTATCTCAATACAACATTATAATTCATAGTCTGTCAGTACTCCCATGTATTGTGATATCTACCTGTATACCTAATTGTTCTTAATCTGCTAACACTTATCTGTTCCTTGTACCCTAAGAGAAATGTATAATTGTTCCCTGTAATGACAGTTGATGGGATTATTTGTCAATTA